GCCCCAGGCTCAGGGCATCACCCTCAACCCTCAGCAGGCCCAGGCACTGGGGGTCACACTCACCCCTGAGCAGCCCCTGGCTCAAAGAATCTCCCTCACCCCTCAGCAGGCCCAGGGTTTGGGGGTCCCTTTCACTTTAGAACAGGCTCAAGTATTGCAGGTTTCTCTCTCTCCAGAACAGTTTGGGGAATTAGGGGCCCCTCTCATCTCAGATAAAGTCTATGACTTAGAATCTCCCCATACCCCAGAACAAATCCAACTTTTGGGAACCCCCTTCACCCCAGGACAGGCCCGTTCCATGGGTATTACCCTTATGTCTGAGCAGGGTCTAAAATCTAGACCTTCTCTCATTAATAAGCAACCCTCACGATGGTGGGTTGGTCCTCCTTCAGGATATACCCTGGGAGTTGAGGGCTTTTCCATTGCTGATAAATCTGTAACAGCAAGTGCTCCTCACATTCCTAAGCAGTCTCCCGCAACACCTGCTCCTGTTGCTGAGAAGTCCACTATATTAGAGGTCTCTTCTACTCCTCTGCTGATATCAGGGTCTCCTCTTACACAAGCCCCCCTTGCCCCTGGGAAATCTGTGGGAATGAGGATTCCTTCAGACCCTGGGAAGCTCCTGGCACCACAGACTTTTCCTTCCTCTAGACAGAACCCAGTTTCTAAGGGTCAATCCACCTCTGTTCAGCTCCCAACACCAGTTCACAGCCTAGTATCTGGGTTTCCTCCCATTCCAGGGCAGCCCCTTGCACTGGAGGCCCTTCTTAGCTCTAGGCAGTTTCTCATATCTAAGGAATCTCTTCTGACTTCCCAGTCACCTCAGATATCGAAGCTCCCTGTTGTCCCCAGACAGTCCCTTATATCTGGAGTCCTACCCACCTCTGCACAGATTCCCAGTGTCTGGGCTCCTCTCTCTCCAGGGAAGCCCTTGGTTCCCGGGGCCTCTTCCATCCCTGGAGGGCTCTTGGAATCTGGACCCTTAACCCTCTCTGAGCAGCCTCAGGTATTCCAGACCCCTGCCACCAATGAGCAATCTCCCTATCTACAAGCCCCTTTTACCCTTAGGCAGCATCTGGCACCAGCGACCCTTCCTGGGCAAACTTCCTCACTATGGATCCTTCCTACCCCTGGGTCTTCCCCAACACTATGGGTGCCCTCAATCCCTGCAAAACCCCAGAAAGATTTATCCTCTCCTGTCTCTAAGAAAAGTAAGGAAAGACTGCTAATTATTTCTTCTCTGAAGTCTAAATCAGCATTGGTCCATCCCAGTGCTTCAAATTTCAAGGTATCTCAAGCCCCTTTCACCACTAAGAAGTTCCCAATATCAGAGGTCTCTGACACTTCTAAAGAAATCCAGATACCCCAAGATCCTTTTGCCATGGAACAACCTATAACATTTCAGTCTTGTCTCACTGATTACAGGACACCAGTATCACAAACCCCTGATAAGGGGGAACTTCCCACTCTCATGAAGCCTGTAACATCACTACCTTCTCTTACTATTCTTACCAAGACATCTCAGAGCTCACTTTCTGAATGGGACCAGAAATCCCGATTCCCTCCCATAGATAAGTCCTGGATTCTGACTTCAGTTTCAGGTACCAAGAAATCCAAGATTATGGCACCCACTTCCTATCCCCAAGAGCTCAAAGAGAAGTATTTTGTTGATGTGGAGGCTCAAGGGAAGAACCTGATTCTCTTAAGTCAGGCCACAAAAGCTTCTGGACTCCCTTCACAACTACATACAACGGCTAGGAATCTCATAATTGAGACCCTTCATACGGACGCAGTTCGGCTAGGATACGTATTCCGCAAGTACATTGCCTATAGGCTGATCCAGCGTGCAAGGTAGATGTAAATATTGTGTGTCCAGTTTTCTGGTTTAGTCCTAATTTCAAATATCCTCCCTATTGATCTATAAGTATGTAGATATTTGTCAGATCAGATGTTCTAAAAGATTCTTTTATAGGTATATATGGGATGGAAGCATATTTAAGATAGCAAAGGAGATAAACTTTTTAGGAAATAAGAAATGTCATGTAACATGTTCCATTTAATCTATTTATATCTCTAGGAGAGATGCTAAGGTATATTTTGTGGACCATGGTTGATCTCCAAAATATCAACTTCAAAAGTTTAGAAATGCTTCCCATTAATCTGAATTATTTTCACCTTCTTGGGTTCACCAGAAGATCTATGACTCTTAAAGTAGGAGACGTCAGGTTTATTATGTACCAGGTGTTGCCACTGCAGCCTTGCTGCTAGAGTGACCTGGAGTAGGAGACGTCAGGTTTATTATGTACCAGGTGTTGCCATTGCAGCCTTGCTGCTAGAGTGACCTGGAGGAAACAGGTTCTAGTTCTGATTTTTTAAGATTGTAAATATCAGAAATTGGTCAGGGAAATGGCCAATTAGTCTACCATTCTTAGCGTTTGTGTTTGAGATTACCAACTTGTTATTTTGGGAAATTTTTAAATTGTGTTATTTTTTAATGTAGAATTTTTTTTCTTTTTTTCTAATAGTTGATATACAATATTGTGTTAGATTATTTTTTTTAACCTAAAATTACAAGATGCCAAACTAAGACCTATGATAGAAAAGATTATCATTAATTATAGCAGTAATTTATGTCATTAACTCAACAAATATTTATTGAACGTATACTATGCAGCACGCATTGTTCCAGGTGCTAGGGATACAGCAGTAAATAAAACAAAGTACCCTGTTCTCATGAAATTTACATTTTTGAGGACTGAATTCATTTGGAAACTGAGGACTGGAACAACACGGTGCAAAAGAAAGACTTATCCAAGATATAGTTCCAAATTTTCATTTCAAAGCTTAAGTAATCTAATTGTTGAAAAATGTTCTGCTCTATACCTGTCTTTAATTTTCTCTTTCCAGACTAAAAGATCGCAGTCTTTTAAATTTATTCTCACATGTAAACACTTTCTTCTACTTGAGCATTTTAAATAACATGCTTCTGGTCATTCTCCAGTTCCCTTATGCCTTTTTTCTTTGTTATATTTAAATTAAAAAATAAGTTACACATTCATTTGGTACAATATTTTAAACTTACAAATGGTAGAGTGAAAATCCTCCTTAATAGCCTTATTCTTGGCCATTGGGCCCCTCCCTGAGGTCTACTAATGTATGTCAATCCAGAAATATTTTCTGCATATGTAGAAAAGTAATATTCTCTTTTATCCCCACTTTAAATAAAGTTATGATGTTTGATTTTTTCCATAAAAAGTTAGATATTAGGTATTAGATAACTTAGGTATTAGTATATAAAGAGCCTTCTCATTCATTTCATAGCTTCATAGTACTCCAAAGTCTGGATTTATCAGAATTTACTTAACCTCTGATGGACATTTATACTGTTTTCAAAATTTTGGATTATAAAAATATACTTCAATGAACAATGCATATACATTTGTGTACGTGTATGTATGTGTGTTCCTAGAAGTAGAATTTCTAGATCGAGGGTAAGCATTTTGTAATTATGATACAAAAATGTCAAATTGTTCTCTAAAGAGGTCGTAACAATTTATATATATTGATCAGCATTACAAAAGAGCATTTCCCCACATCAAGACTAACATGAAATATTATTTTTTTATTCATTGCCAATGTAATAAATAAAATATGGCATTTCAGTGCTATTATTTGCATTACTTTTATCGTTGGTTAGGTTAAGTATCTTCACATTCTTAAGAGCTTTCATTTTCTGTGAAGATTCTACTCAAATATTTTGCCCATTTTTCAAGTGGGTTGTCAAGTTGCTTTTTTAATTGATTTGTGGGACCTATTCACATATTTGGAAAGTTAGCCCCTCAACTGTGTTATAAATTGTCAAACTTCTCCACTTGTGTTTTGACTCTGCTTTTGGTACATTTTGCTTTCCAGAAAATTTTGATTTTTATGTGTTTATATTAGTATTTTTAATAATGTTTTGTGCCTTATTTAGGAAGGCCCTCTCCACTCTGAGAAATATTAAAAAATTATTTTTAGGTTTCTTTTAGTATTTTTATGATTGGTTATTATTTTTTACTTGTTTCATATTTATATCTTTGATTCACAGCTTTCTCTTGTAAGATATTCTTGTGATTCCTTCTTTCTCCCACATGATTGCACAGTTTTTTACAAAATAACCTACTTTCCCCCCACTAATTGGAATGTGTGTCCTGCAGGAGCATTTTAAAGTTTTCATCTAGATCTTGCATATTCTTCCATAAGTGTATGATCTGGTAGTTTTCATTTTTGTTGTTGCTGTAACCATTGTAAATGGACTCTTTTCTCCTATGATATCTTCTAACTGGTTCTTATTTGTATAAATGAAGGGTAGATTTCTCTATATAATTTTTTATGTAGCCATCTTACAGTATTCAAAAGCATGTGGAAGTTTTTCAGTTGATATTGAGCTCCAACTATATAATCAATATTACCTGCAAATAATGATTTTTTACATCTAGATTTTCCAGTTTTTAAACATCTCATTTCTGTCTCTTGACTACCTGAATTGGTTAGTAGCTTCAGAACTATGTTAAAAAATAATGATGGCCTCAAGGCCATCTTTGTTCATTTCACTGTCCCTGAGTAACAGCTAGTAGTGCCTTTCTATGGACCCATGTTTTTTTTTAGGAAAAGTTCATCTTCAAGAACATTTAAAAACATTGTTTAGGGAATTCCTCACAATTATGTGGATTCCCCATATGCACATAATAAAGTTTATTTTCTCCTATTAAAAAAAAGATTATATTTATATTCTCCTTTCTGAAAAAGTCATAAAACATCTCTAACTTCAGTCAATTTCATTTTTAGGGGGACTTATTTTCTCCACTCCTGTGGAGAAATGTTAAGTCCTTCTTTCATTAATTATTAAAATATAAATATAAATTGACTAGAAATATAGTGTGATAGTAGACATCTTTCTAGTATTTGTCATTTAAAAACGTTGGCTTTTGGGTTGAAATTCCCATTTAGTTTTTTTGTTTGTTTCTTTTTTTTATTCAACTTCTAACTTTTTGTTTTGTTTTGAGGGGGAGGTAATTAAGTTTGTTTATTTACTTATTTATTTATTTGATGGAGGTACTGGGGATTGAACCCAGGACCTTGTGCATGCTAAGCCTGCATTCTATCACTGAGCTATACCCTCCCCTTCTGTTTCATTTCTTTTTTAATCAAGAGTGGATGTTGAATTATGTTAAATTTGTTTAAATCACATTTTTTAAGTGTGATTTCAGCACTTTATTTTCATGCGTATTAAAGAAAATATTTTCTCCTCAGATCTTCTACTACAATTAATTATTTTAAACTACCATTGCATTCCTTGAATAAATCCTTCTTTGAATGTGTTACATCTGCTAATATTTTATTTAGGTTTTTTTTTTGCATTGACATTCATTAGTAAGTTTGGATGGTGATTTACTTCTTTTGTGCTATCTTTATCAAATTTCGGTATAATTTTAAGTTTGTAACATTTTTAAAATGTGAAAGCTTATCTTTTTCTATGCTCTGGAACAGTTTAATTAAAAAATTAGCTGTTCTTTTAATGTTTGCCAGATTTCACCTCTGATATTATATGGGCTTGGTACTTTTGTGGGGGAGTTCTTTAACAACTTTCTTAATTTTTATATGTCAATTAAATTGTTTAGATTTATTGAAGATTTTGAAGACTTAAGTGACATGATCTGACCTGTTTCAGTAAAATCATTTAAAAATTGAAATATCTAAATCAACATGTTACAACAATATTTAATTTATACAATTATAACTTTAATCCTATCAAGGGTCAATTAATTCATTATTTCCAGAAAGCTCTTCTTTAATATTTAATGTTATAATAATCAAATCACCAACAGGTATAACAGGAATTAAACATTGAAAAGTGAAAGATTTCACCATAAAAATGGTTGAGTCAAGAAGACACTAACATTACATGGGAAAGATAATATAAAGTATAATAATATAAACTATTTTTGAATAAAGAAAGTTTTGTAGAACCTCTGTAAGTAAAGATTCCATGTTTAAATGCTGAAATACAGTTTTAGAATTGTATTACCACATAATCAGTGTAATAAACCTGAGAAGTAATGATGAAGTGAATGTAAAATTAGACCAGATACTGATAATGAAACATTTCATTTCCATACACATGGGGGAAAGTCCTTAAAGATATTAAATGTTGTAGTGACTACATTGGATTCAACTTATTTAATTCATTGACTTTTTAAAATATCTACTACATGCCAGGGGCTGGGTTAGGCCCAGGGGGTGAAGGGTGGAAGGATACAAAAATGGAAAAGTCATATCCTTCCCTTGAGGGCACACAGAGATAGTCACACAGAGGATTATATAGTATGGTGTGGAAAGAACAACGATGGTATATTGCCAACTCTGTACAAGAGGACTGAGGAGAAAGAGTTAAGTAAAGCTTCTAGGAAGCCTGACCTTGGAACTATGCCTCAAAGAACTAACCAGTTAAGTCAGTAAAGCAGGAAAAGGCAGAGTGTCTAGCAGAGCAGCAAAAGGAAGCAAGAGGCAGAAAAACGTGGGTGCACATGTGTCTGGGGAAACTAGTAATTGTTTTGGGGCACCACGAACCATATCCATATAAGATAGCAAATTTAATTATAAATGTTGTGTTTGTTCTGACTGCTCCACCAATTAGCCATTCCCCATCTCTCTCCCTCTCCTTGGGCCACCCTATTCCCTGAGACACAATAATATTGAAGTTAGGCCAATTAATAACCCTACAGTGGCCTCTAAGTGTTCAAGTGAAAGGAAGAGTCACACGTCTCTCATTTTAAATCACAAGCTAGAAATGAATGAGTTTAGTGAGGAAG